ATATATATATATATATATATATATATATATATATATATATATATATATATATATATATATATATATATATATATATATATATATATATATATATATATATATATATATATATATATATATATATATATACATATATATCTTTGTCTTTTGGCTTTACCAATTTTCTCGTTATACAATGGTGCTGATGGCCGGAGAGTAATAGTTCTTCGTTTTAAAGGCGCATGTTTCTGTAAAGTTTCTTCCAAAGTCTTTTCGTACTGATCGATAGTAGTTGGTGGTAGCTCACTGTCACTACTGAAGTTCGACTTTCTTGGGTCTTCGTTAAAACTATCCATGTTTATATTCCGCAGCTTGCGATACTGGATTTCTGAACGTTCCAGTGGTGGTTTCTCAAGCTGTAACGTACAGCTTACAGCTGAATGATCTGAAAACATGGGGTCCTGTATTTCAATGTTAGTCACCAGTCGTTCGCCAATCCTTGTTATTATCAAATCTAGGGTGTGACCCTTCTTGTGAGTTGGCCCATTCACGTGTTGTTGTAGATTGAACGATTCCAATATTTTATTGAATTTTATGGTATCCAGGTTAGTACTGTTGTCCACATGGCAATTGAAGTCACCGGCTATTAACAAATTGCATGGTAGAATTATTAGCTGCTCCATAAGGTTGCAAAATTCTTCAAAAAATTGAGAATTAGTTAGTTGATTGGTTCTCTACAGGGGCAGCGGGGGCAACTGCCCCCACTGCGGGGCAACTGCCCCCACTGCCCAAGCAGTGCGGGGGCAGCACGGGGGCAACAGGTTGCCCTTTTACCGGAACTGCACTTCGAAATTTGTTCGTTATTCACAGGAATTGGAATTTATAACTATTTTTAAGCAATGTTTAAGCAATCTTTCCTTTATTTTTAACCTGCAGTTGCAGTAAAATTAATGCTAAATCAAGCAATATACGTCCATTTATACTGATTTTATTTTGCACCTTTAGCACGGTGCAACGAATGAAATTGTTCAAAATTTATGTCGAAGTTCGCCGACCCATAATTAATAGCCACAAGTAATCGAATATCCATTCATGCTAAAACCACATGGTAGGCACATGGACTAATAAATAACGCACATGATACTGTATATAAAGTTATAAACTAGACCAATACTTTAAAACATCTTTATGAACATTGGAAAAGAATAGCAAGGAATGTGCCACATAATATCCTGAACGAATATACAGGTGTATGTACATGCAGTACCACAGAATACCACACAAATTTACATGTTCCATATCTTTTGTCAAATGCATATACAGTAACATAGCCTATTCGCCTGTTGAATATTTTTTAGTATAGTTTTTCATTATCTTTTTCTTCCTATGGGGTCTTGGGGTTAGATTTGGCAGATATATTCTGTTATTTTTTAAATCGGACATTCTGTGGATGAAATCCTAATGTACCACAGAATACCAGTGCAGCAATAAGTATAAGAAACAGCCAGTTTATGAAATTGTACGAGGATTTGGTGTGTCGATCTTGTTGTGTGATCACACTGTACAGATATTGCTAACTTAATTTAGTGAAAGGTAAATACTAAAATCACTACAGAATACCTTTGGTATGTACGACAGTATATTAGGTTTACGAATATTTTGAAAAATTAAGTTTTTTATAGTAATTAAATTTGATTACTCAGTGAGATTCCTGAATAGTAAAAATGTTGTATATTGCTTAATTAAAACTGTTGATGAATGTAAATCAAGTTAGTTTGCAAACTTATTTTCAAACTTTCTGATTTTACAGGCATATTAAGCAGAAAAAAAGTACCAAAAATAAGGAATTTTATTTGTTGTTTATCCCAATTATTTTTAAGGATTTTATGAAAATATCCTTTTTGTTTTTTTTATAATGACCATTTAGACTAAAATATATTTATTATTCACAAAAAGAATGTAATATATAGCATGTTTCCTTCAAATTTTATAAGAGAAATAAAAAAACTGGTATTCTGTGGTACTGTGATATTCTGTGGTACATACACCTGTAGTATGGGCCATAGTACAATACATACACCTGTAGTATATCTGTATAAATATGTATATATTCATTTGGGGCCAAAATGTCAGAAATTAGAGAAGGATATGTTAATTGCTTTGTTTGAAACTCACATGTTAAGGGATATGTCCAGATGAAAATGCTTTTTTTTACCAGGAAATACAATAGTTGTACCTTGAAGATGACCAGACTATCGAAGCAAATATAAAGCATAACATTATATACAGTCGAACCCCTATAAGCGGACACCTCTTTTAAGCGGACACATATCTCAGGTCCCATTTGGTTTCTTTAATAAAAAACTATTATCATAACCCCTATTAAGCGGACACCCCTCTTTAACGGACGCGGACACCTTTCTGGAGGTCCCAATGGGCAAATCAACCTCTCTTAAGCGGACAGATGACAGATTGTCTGATAAAATGTATTCAATATTCGACAGTAAATAACAATTGAGATCAATTTACATGGCACATTGACAGTGACACACCAACTTGGCGCGAAGACATCAGAGCCAAGATTATTGAGGAAGTGACAAATGAGGACGAGGACTGTGAGCCGCCAGCCATGATGATACTCAAATTA